TTGTTTCAGGTTAATGGGCATGGGAGGGGGGGGGGGAGAGACAGGGGGTTGTCGTGTAATCACGCGCGGCGGCGAGCACGCGATCATGTCAAGCGATTCTAATCCGCGCGACGCGATCATTTCGCTGCATTTTATTAGCGAATTTGTTCGACGACCCGGGCACATGGTATCGAGACGGATCGGCTGTTCGTGTTCGCCCATTGTATCTCTCGCTTTGAGAGGAGCTTAGAGAGGTCTTAGGTGTCTCGCCCGTCGCGTTTATCGACGAGAGAATGCAAGGTGGAAATCGCGCAAGATCCCGACACCGAGTCAAAAGCCTGTGGAATTTCACGGGTTGTAAATATACACTTTTTGGGATCTTGTATTTTTCAATTTACGCTATCTATTTTCGGTGAAAGCGAAAAAATTTCTGCATCGACAAGTTTCAATTTTCAAATATAATTTCCTGAAAATGTCGCGATTGCAACCCTTTTCGCGCTCAATCGGGAAACGCTGGGTGGCGTAATGTGCTCGGTGAAGCTAGAGAAAGAAAAGAGAAAAAGAGAGAGAGAGAGAGAAAGTGCGGCGGGATTAGCTTGCAGTTAGTTATGATTAGACGCGACAGTTGGCCTTCCACGGTATCGAAGGGCGGCGCGCTTTTTCTCTCTCCCTCTCTTTTTCTTCCTGTCGTGTATATTATATATTCCAATACTCATTGACGCGAGCGCTCCGTCTGTGTGCGTTTCTGCCGAAGAGGGTCGAAGGGGGCGGCGATAATACGCGCTGACAGGCGCGCACCCCCTCGGGCTTGCGCGGCCGCGAAAGGGGATGCTGTCTGCGAGAAAGGAAAACATATACATACAACAACCCGATAGAATGAGCATCGCGTGCGCCGACGCTTGCTACTCTCCCGTTCCCCGCAACCCCCCGTTCGGTTCCCTTCTACACCCTCCGTGCTCTTCTCGCGCTCTGGCCGCACCTCCCTTTTCTCTTTCTCTCTTTCTCTCTCTCTCTCTCTCTCTCTCTCTCTCTCGACGCGCTCGGAATTACACACCGATGTTATAATCCTCTCGTGTTACGCCATCGCACATGCTGTCCTGTAAGCAATACATTGTTTTTTTTTTATCCGGTTCCCTCCCCAGCATCCATATGCACGGCACTTCGCTGCCGTATGATCGCTCGGTGATCGACGAGCGGCGATTGTCAAGAGAGTACTATCGTCGTCGAAGCGAGATCCTTCGTCGGTTTGGGGGTCGATGGCCCGTTGGTGCCGCGTCTGAATATCAAATTGCTCGTTTCACCGATTAGAATAGGCGTTCCTATATTTTTACGCGTTAAAAACACGAACGTTCTATCAATACTGTTTTATTTCATATTCAGCAACGCTCCTTCGATTCTCGATCTGTCTTTATTATTCGGATATTAAAATTAATATACATGTATTATTTAAAATTTATTTGAAATTCTTTTTGAAATTTTTTTAGAAGATAGTCAACTGATTTTTTAAAATAATGATACAATTCTTTCTAATGATGAGATAAGAGTATAGAATATTATAAATTTTAATAGGAAATTTTTCCAGCATTCTGGACTTGCATGTATATTTTAATGTGATATCAGAAAAAGAAGAACTCTCTTCTCTCTCTCTCTCTCTCGAGCTACGCGAGTAATGATTCTTTCGTATGCTTCAGATATCTGGTAGCCAGCGGCTTAGTGGATCGCGTGTCAAGTCACAGCCGGGCCCTGATCGAGACGGATTTCTTTCTGGATCAGGAGCACGAGTCGCCGTTGCTGGTATCATCTTACGATCTCATCGCACGTATCTGCGGCCATCTGAGGCGGTCCGTCGATCAAGATAGCGTCAACGTGCACGGCGAGGGCGGCGGCGGTAACAACGTCGAGCAAACAAGCAACGAGTCGCACTTGCTGTCGACTTTATCGTCGAGCGAGGCCTCGGGCGCGATCGGCGCCCTTTACGCGGCGGTTGCATTCACGCCACAGAATCAGAAAGGTGGTACCTCGCCAACGCCTAATCACACATTCACGACCGCCGTAAGGATGCTGGCCAGCCGCGGTCTCAAGCTCCTCAAGTCGGTCGCGGAACTCGATCTTCGGACGCTACAGGTACCGTGCTTTTGTCTCACGTGATTTTCTTTCAGGATTTCGTTTATAATTAATGAAATTTGTCGAGAAAAGATATTAAAACCGACACGGTATTTTAAATTCCAGCCTATCTAATTGAAAGTTAAAAATAAAAAATTATCCGAGTCGAAATTTTGCTCCTATTTTCAGTACTTTATTTTTCACGTTATTTATTTTTCACGTTATTTATAGATTCTGGAGGATTTTGATAGATTTCATTTATATAGAAATTGTATTGTATTGAATTTTTTATTTTGTACCTAAAATAGTAAACAAATAGTTCTCTACTTATGTTAGAGGTTTAACAGAAGAGAGCTTTCGGCAAAATTATAGATTAAATAATTTCAAAATAGAGTAATTTGACTGCTTAAAGGATTAAAGTAGATAATAGATTGAACATTTTGAGATCGAAAGTGGGAGAAAAATTTCGACTCGCTACATCCACGGATATTTATCACAGATTGTGTATCCCATTTTCTCAGATAATATTGTTTCAAATTGAAGTTTGAGAAATTAATTTCCAAGATATTGATATGATAAATATTATGATGAAACGGATAAAAATAAAACCGCGAAGGAGATAAAAAATTTTACAAGCATGTAAAATGACATAACATATTAGTTATTAGCGAAAAAAGTACTTTGCCACATTGTTATTATTTCGATTTTCTAGAAGAAATCGTAGTAGAAAAACTATCAAATTCCACAAACTCTAGATATAAGATGATTTAGCGTACAGAGGAGTACTGAATGCATAAAGTATGGACTTTTAATGAATAAACTAGTTGAACGGACCAAGTTTTTACCAGCTCTTAATTACTGACAAAATAGACTTATAAGTTGATGTTTTGGTCTCGTCTTTTCTTCAAATGTTATCGAATAAATTAGCGCTTGTTAATTCTCGATGTACACTTTGACGTATTTCACACATTTTACATTCGGATATAAATCGTTTTAATAAAGACGTAAGCTGCGCGTAAAATTTGGATATAAATGTTATAATCCGATGCGGTCTATATTTATAGCGATTATCTTGAATAGATATTACAGTTTTGAACCGCACGTGCGCTATTATAACTATCGACTCTCTGATTTTCATCTTCATTCCATATGTGTTATATATGTTACACAAAATCGTATACAGTCGTATTATTCCGCTCCAATTTTGGCACGTACCTTTCCCAGGCATCTCTCACGTTAAATAAGGCCGAAGTTTAATTTCGAAGTTTATCTCGCCCGAGACGAGAAATCGGTATCAAGTGTAAATCTGAAGCCGACATCAGACAGCCACGTTTTCAATATTTAATTACGCGACGGAACTGATTACTTCATTCTACTTTAGAACACTTTTTAAAACAGTCCCGATCGTCGATACTCGGACTATTTAAAAAGAATACGTGTATATTCACACATTAGAGATCGCCGTAAGATTCATTACTCTTTAATTCGCTACGCTCCACGATTTGTCGCCCCCCCCCAATTCCCCCCTCTCTCTTGCCCCTAGGGCGTCGCCTCTTCAAATGACAACGATGCCGCTTGTTGCCGTCAACAATGCGGCTTATCGTCGGAGGGCATCGAGCGGATGATGGAGATATCATGTATCGCTAAGGGTTGGGGAGGAGGGGGGGGGGGAGGGGGTTATTCGCCTGTCAAGACGCAAAGGGCCTCCCGTGAAGTTCTCTCGCAGCGAGCCAACCGCGAATTGAATCGAGGCGGTGTCTCGCGCCCCATCCCGTACGAACGAAACCATAAAGGCTCTATCCTGTGCCCCGCGGGAGGGCCGCGCGCCCCCCTCGGGTCCCGCGGGAGCGTCCGTCGATTATCCCGCGCGGTCCAGATGAGCCCTGACTAGGTTTGCCAAAAACCAAACGCCTATTATCCATTCTCTTTGCCCTGGCTCCTCTCCCGATGCGGTTTCGCCGACGACAAAGTTCCGCTGTCTTAGATTTCAACGGGCTTAAACGCTCGCCTTGAAAGGGGGGAATCGGTAATTTAGGATCGACCACGGAATTATATCGATGCTATTAAATACGTTATGTCCATGTCGGATTCACGCGTAAGCTGATGAAAGTTCTAATATTGCCAAGGACGATTTATTATTTACAAAAAGTTCACGATACCCTTAATTCTTGTTGCAGAGCTTCTTGGGCGCCGAAGGTACGAGTCTGCAATGGCGATTGATAGCGAGCCATCTGATAACCCGATTATCTCGCGATTCTCTATCGGACAATGTGGAAGTGGGATCTATGCCGGATACAAGCGGCATCCATATCCTTTCGGAGCTGTTTATGGTGCTTGGCTACTTCGCCCTCAACAATCCAGATAATCAGGTACGCATTGTTCACATATCGCGACAATCGATCATTTTGAAATGTAAAGGAGAAGGCGCAGGGAGAGGCAGAGAGAAAGTCTCTTTAGCATTGGATTAAAGGTATCGTTTAAATTATGTATTTTCTTACAGAGATTCTCTAAATTTGTTATTGAATTAAAGCCAATCTTATAAATCTACAAACTGTAAAAATATCCCTTCAAAAGTATTTTTTTTTAAACGAATTTTATTTTTGATTCTTCCCAAAAAATGAAAAAAGAGCTACATATTGTTCTTGATGCTGATTAATTTTGACATCATTAATTTTAATTTCTTGACATCATTAATTTTAACTTCTTGACATCATTAATTCTAATTTCTTTTTCTTTTTTTTTACAAATTTTTTCATGCAAATTGTAACGATTTTTTCATTGGTTTTAATTTATCTTTAAAATATTAAATATATTTCAATTTTTTTGTATGGATATATATTATTAAATTTGATAAGAGCGTAACTTGTCGAAAATATCTTCTCGCTTTTGACGTTATATTGCATGTAACTTTGATCGCTTTAAATTCTTCGAGTTGTGGCGGATTTCCTCGACTGTAATACCACGAATTATCCTGTATGTTCGCGTAAAACGAAAGCGTGGCTTTACCGACCAAGAAGAAGGAAGGAGCTGTTAGACACAACACACTCAGCGGACCTCCTATCAATATACGGCCGAACGCCGTTAAGATATATTTACGGCGTTCCATCCCATACGTCTCGCGACGCGCGTGCACGTGCAGTGCCGGCTCATCAGCTCGCGATACGTCGCACGGAAACTCCCAATAAATAATTATAACGAGATATGAAAAATGAAAGCATCATCGAACATGATATTAGACGTATTTAAAGAAATAAAATATGAATAACTATAAAATAAAAAAAAAAACAGAATAATTTTTTAAAGATAATACTACAAATTTGTGTATTATTAAGAAATATATAATAATTACTTTTAAAATCGTTCAGATATTTTAATGCAAGTTATTACTTATATCTGAGTAATCTATAAATTAATTTTGATTAATATAATACTATAATTGAATATTGATAATCAATTTCAATTAAGTAAAACATCCAATATATAGAGTATAAAGTTTTATTAATTTTTGAAAGTTAATACCACGGAAATTAATTACAATTTTAGAAAAATTACGAGCAAAAATTCGGTTTTTTAATAATACTTTTCACAATTTAAGAATACTTTTCGCGCAAAGAATTGATGGAAATATTCGAATGCCCATCGCCTAAGAGCGGTCCTGCATCCATGTCGATCCCGCGAATGCGTGAATCGGGATGTAAGTGCTGAGTGCATCGCCGATGTCGCGCATTCGTCTTTCAGCGCTTTTTTAAGGGGGGCTGCTCGCGCAGGAACGAGAAGAGTCGACCGACCCTCCGAGAGTAGCTGACTCGGGGAAAATCGTCTTCCGCGAGAATAGAGAAAGAGAGAGAGAGAGAGAAACGGAGAGAGGGAGAAACGAAACGCTTTTAAAGCTCTCTACGAGCATCTGCGGTTATCGCGCCTGGCGCGACGTGTATCCACCTTCTCCGTTCGCGATCATAAACACGTCTCTGTATCCTCGTTTTTTGTCGACGCCCGTAACCGAATTCGAGAAATGGATTTTTTTTTTTGCGGTGGCGCCGTGTGGCGCGTATGCGTTTTACCACTCTTT